ATGAAAGTTATAGTTTCTGATAAAAAAAAAGTGTCTTCCCAAAAACGAATTAAGTTTCCTAAGCAAACATCATACCTGATAAACTTCAGGAATTAAGGAAGCAAGTTGCGGATTGCTTTCTAAGGTGCTTCCAAGGTAGCCTAATGTGATACACCAGCATCCCAACCACTCTCCATTCTCCCATGAATACTATCCACTACTAGGGGTGTCAATTGGACTGGATTTGGTCCAATCCAATCCAGTCAGACGTGGGTCCATGCACTGGATTGAACCCAATCCGGTCCAAATCCATAACAAACTGGGTCCAATCCGGTCCAACTAAAATATAAATGGATCAGATCGGGTCCAATCCAGTCCAAATTGAACGAAACTTCAAAAATTACACGAAAAATAAAAAATATAAAAAACTTTAGAAATATATTAGAAATTTCACAAAAATATAAAAAATGCAGAAAAATAAAATGTAGTGCAAAAAATCAGAAAAGTAACATGTTAACCTAAACATTTCTTTCAAAGAAATTACAAAAACTGAAAATTCGTTTATAGAATTGAAGCTAAGAAAAGACACGCAGAGATGCTTTGATATGTTTAGCTGTTTATTTTGACAATAGAAATCTAAGTTCAGACTTTGGAGAAAAATAGAAAGCTGTGAATAGAGGGCTTGGTGTGTATTGTTCTTGTAAATTAAAACCCAAACTCCGATTTTTAAGCTTTGTAATGTGGACAACTTGGTTGATTTGAAACTGAATATAGAAAATTTAAGCTTGTAGACTATTTGCGATTAACCATACAATGCTAATTAACCATTTGGTTTGGTCTCCATTTTGATCTACTTGCTAAAATAATTGTGGGACCGTTTGGCAAGTCTTTCCGCATCGTTTTCCGTCTGTTTAGAAGCCCGAAAGACCGCTTTTCGGTCTATTTCCATTTGGTTCGCAGAATATCTAGCCGCCAAAAGCCGGAGCGCCAAAAAGACGCAAGAAGCCCATTTTGGGCTGACTTCGAGAAGCTCCAAATGGAGCTTTTCGCGTCTTTTTCACTTTATTCTCGCACGAAAAGACGCACGATAACCAAACTAGCTTCGAGCTGCTCAGATCTTCAAGCAAAAGCTCAATTTGTCTTTTGACTGTCAAAGCTACCAGAAGATCTTCCCAAAAAGACTTGCCAAACGGCCCCTGTGTAAGCAAGTTGGAAGCCAAAAAGTAATCACCAAGGAGATAGGATGGACCCAAACTTTTAAAGAGGAACTTGGTTATTTCTTAGTCACTGTATTGTATCTAACAACTAGGATGTATTAGACCAAAGAGAGAAAAGCATTTACCTTGGGTGATCATGTAGGAATCCAAGCCCCCCCTTTTCTATTTGTAATGATGTTGAGCCTCTTTTTTCACTTCAAATCTTCTGAAACTCAAACCCCAACTTCAAACTCCACCATCTTCTTTGTTGAACGATAAGCTTAGACCCAAATTCATATAGTCACATGATATAAACGAGAAATTCTAAACTAGTCTGTTTTAATGAACAAATAACAGAGGAGCCTGCCTCCTTGTTTGGGTTCTTGGAGAGAGATGGAGAAAGAGGGGAGTGAGAGAGAGAGAGCTGTTGGAGAGAGGGGGGGAGTGAATCGCGGTGAGAGTACCACCAGAGAGGTGTGTCGTTGGAGTAGGGATGCAAATGGATTGGATCGGATTCGAATCCGATCCAAAGATCCGATTGGATCTGATAGGACTCGATTTGAATTTGAATCCTATTGGTAAGTCGGATCTTCGGATCTGATCTGATCCAACTTGTTTTCGTTAAAAATAAAAAATTATTAAAAGAAAAATAAAATATACTAATTTAAATAAAAAATAAATAATATAACAAATTTAAAAAATATAATATAAACAATATATTTATAAATATATAATATATCAGATCTGATAGGGGGTTTGATCCAAATATGATCCGAAGATCTGAACATGGGCGATCCGAATTCGACCAAGTAGGATCAGATCGGATCATGATCCGATCCATTTGCACCCCTACATTGGAGAAAGCTGAATGCTGCCAGAGAGGGGAAGAGAGATGTTCGTTGAGCCAGGAGATGAAAGACAATAGAAAAAACCTATTCGTTCCAACAATAACTCAAGGACCTGGGTGCGGACAAGTGGACCTTTGGACTCTATCCTCATCAGATTGGTCCAAATTCTGGCCTGTTGTTTGCATGGTCTGTTAAGTCTGGACAGGTCCGACTCCATACTCTCTTTTGGACCATCCAATCCGTCCAAATCACATTCGATTTAGATGGGTCCAACCCAAATCTGGTCCATTGACACCCCTATCTACTACCTCAACCCACAAGTTTTCCCTCTCTAGAGGCCATCCCCATAACCATTTTCCTAAGAGAGCTGTATTCTTCTTTCTCACATTCCCAAGTCCTAGTCCACCCTCTTCCTTTCTTTTACACAATCTCCCATTTGATTAAATGGTCCTTTCTAGTCTCTCCCGGCTCCCAAAGGAAATCCCTCTAATTTTTTCTAATTTCTTTTCTTCCCTTGGTGGGATCCTAAAAACAGAGAGGAAATAGATAGGTAGGTTAGCCAGGTGGCCAATCTCATTTCACATCTTTCTACAACTTGGTTCCAAAATCTGCTTTCCATAGGGTTAGCCCCTAGAGGAAGCCCCAAATAGGTCAGAGGCCAAGGGGTTATATGACACTCTAAGCACTCCGGTACCAAATTTAGGACATTCTCCTCCATATTAATCCCTGCTATACAACTCTTGTCTAAGTTGATTTTCAGATTTGACACCTTTTTAAACTTCTGGATCAGTTCTTTTAATATCCTCACTATCCTGGGATCTCCCCCTTCACAAAATATTATGGTATCATCTGCAAATTGGAGGTAAGTAATTGGAACCCTATTTCTGCCCACTCTCCATCCCTTAACGTCATCTTTTCTGTCTGCCTTGGAGAGGAGTCTACTAAAAATATCCGCCACTAAAAAGAAAGGGTGAGAGAGGGTCACCTTGCGTTAATCCTCTAGAAGCTGGGAAGAAATCTTTCACCACTCCATCAACAAAGATGGAAGAATGACTAGACCGAACACATCTAAAGATCCAATTGCACCATTTCTCCCCAAACCCCTATTGTTGCATTACTCCTAATAAGAATTTCCAGTCCACCAAGTCATAAGCTTTTTCTAAATCCAATTTGCACACAAAGCCTTCCTTCCTAGATCTCTTCATTTCTTCTAAACATTCATTGTCTCTCAGGATTTGATCAATTATTTGGGATTGTACTGTGCGTCACTTTGGTCTTTCCATATAGGAGGTGAAAAGCATGAAATAGTTTTATGTTTAGTGCAGCTAAAAAATCAAAGCTAGATCTGTATCCTGTTTACCTGTCCCATGACCTCAGATAGATGGGACCATTGTTGGGTGATGGTTTTTCTCCGTAGTGCAGATAAACCATATTATACTGTATAAATAAGGTAAAAGTCTAGACATGAGAATGATAAAATGCAAATTTTCAGCTTAGAGAGCCATAAAATGGATTTTTGCCTCTTTTATTCTTTTTTTTAGATCTTTCTGTAATTACTCTCCATCTTTGTACACTTCTTTTCTTTTCTTTTCTTTTCTTTGCAATTAAAACACTTCCATTTTTTTTCTCTTTTATACCTCTGTAACTCTGTTCCATTAAAAATAACAAGGGACCTATCCCTTCATATGTTTGTTATCTTCTATTCTCTCTACATTTGACACACTTGCACATCTTCTCCTTCATACCTCTATCACATTCAAGACAACCAGTGCTCTTTTTTTATCAGTAATGTTTTTAAGTTTTACTATTATCTGTATAAAAAAACGAGATACAAAAAATTGTGTGCCGAGGTACCCTAATTAGGTATCTAGCCTTGGCTAGCTGCCACTTCTACCCCCCTCCCACTGGGAAATTAAGCACTGAAACATCTGATTTCTGTTCACCCCTTGATTTTCTAGTCCATCAGCAATGCTGTTAGCTGAATATGATGCCCATTTGGAACTAGTTTTTTGGTCTTCCTACAAGTATGTCTATATTTCTATGAACCAATTTAGTCTCTTTTTAACCATCCTATGACCACACTGCAATCCCCTTATTCATGATCTCTCTTAAATTTAGAGATTTGCCATCCTTAAGCTATGAAGTACTGTCCATTTTGCTCTGATCGAGTCAGAGAACTCAACTGGTCTAACATGTTTCCTTCCCAACTTCTAAGAACATCCCCTACTCTATTAGGCCTTGGATTCCCTATGCTACAGTCATCAAAGCTCATTTTATGATATTTAGGAAAGGAGAGTCCTGAGTCCATGGAGTAGAGGGATTATTTTTTGCCAATGAAGAGGATGCTACTCATTATCTTATGACATTATCTGTAGTAAAAAAGAATAAAAATATCCATTGTCTTTACCCAATTTACCACCTTATATCACAATGGCTTCTTCCCTTCATGTGTTTGTTTTCTACTATTGTTTCACTTATGCATGCATTGTTTTTATCTCTTTCTTTGCATTAACTTGGTAGAGATATGTCCCCTAGTATTTTATAGGCTATAAAATGTTGTTTCAATTCTACTTTATTGTTTGGTTCTTTCATGTTAATTTTCAATCTTTTCTATTTGCTACACCAACTAGAGAGATAAGATAATCCACAAAAAAAGGGAAACAAGCTAATGTGAGCCAGATTTTCTTTATATAAAAAAATCACTCCCAAGCAACAAGGTGCTATGCTGCCATCGAGACCCAGCCTTGACTAACAGACTTAGTGTCTTAACAACTATGGTTAATGGTTCTAGAGCCACTAAGCCTATGTTAAATACAACATACCTTGAGTTTTACTGGAAAAATATATAAAAACTCATTGAGCCACATTTTTCTCCCTGTTTTATGAAGTCACTAATTTTGGTTTATTCCCATAAAATTAATACCAGGGTGTCTTTTATTGTACCTTACGACAAAAGTTTATGTGTTTGTATTAACAGGATGAGGAGTTGGACATCTCTCCAGTTGAGATTGATGATGCCTTGGTGATTGAAGAGGATGATCTATCAGATGATGAAGATGATGATCAAGAAGAGGTGAATCACTTGATTTCTTCTAGTATTTCTTAGTTTGACAAAATGTTCTCTGTGTGTCTGTACATTTTCTAATCAGATCAAGTAGAGGGCTTTCTACACAACTACCCTGTTTCTGTCATGTGGAGGGATGATAATGCTGATCCAAGTGTCTGCCTGGTAGGGGATTCTCTGAATTGGCCAAATGTTCAATCTTGTAGTGTGTTGGAATTCTACTTCTAACTGTCAGATATGTCCTATTGTCGACTGACATTAGTGCCCAGCATTTCAATTTTCATAGCATGAAGGGCTGGATATGTGTGAATGACAATAAAGTAAATGTTGGCACTTCAATATGTGTTTTATTTCATCATTCCTTGTCAGGGAGTCTCAAGGACTTAAAAATATCTTTCTATTTTCACCTTGGCATGTTCTTCACATGGCAATAAGTTTCGTGCATTGAGCGTCTGCAGGGATAGAGCTTTTAGTGGTGAAGTGTAATCTCCAGTAATTTGCAGATTTTCCTCACATGGCATTTAGGGTATGATAATTTGAGACATTGAAGGAAACATTTATCTTGGGCTATTCTATGAACATCAGTTGAAGAAGAAGATGTTGCATAGGAAGGAATGAGCTGGGAAGTGAAGTTAAAGAGAATGTAATGTTGATTCAACATACTTGTTTATGATTCAAGAGTATAGATAATCAGTAGGGAAGTGCTCTTAAGTGAGCTATGGAGATGCAACTAGTAATGTAAACTGGAAACGTGAAACAGCGCTTACCATACATATTGCCAACTAATTGTTGTTTGGCAGTTATATCCATGCTTTGGGTATTTGTGGGAAATAAGCAGTAGATGCACTTGCACATGGAACAGGAGAATGGAAAGTGATAGTGGAAATGAACCATAGAAATGTAACAAGTAATATAAACTAGAATGACTAAAACAAGAAGTTAATTTTGGGTACTTCTTTGACATTGCATCTGTGCTTAAAAAAACCGAAGTTTTGCTCTGGTCCAATTTTGGTGGTTAATTTTGCCTTTGTTGCTTATGGAAAGAAATCCTAGGATGGGAAGCATGTATGCTTGTGCATGTTTGATCTGAGCCTTTTGGTCAGGTTCACATGGTGGCTCATGATGTTGATTTGTGAATTTGCAATTAAAATGGATTTTATATCTATATTTTGAATCTACCAATTGTTTTTATGTAAAATGGTAGTAGTAACATAATTAGAGAGTCCTTGACATAACTCATGATATGTAACAAAATAATTCGGAAGGTTGGCTCCGGTCACTTGCAAAATTCTTTGTTTGTGCTGTAAAGGGAAATGAAGCTCCTTCATATCCTCTTTTATTTGGGATCACCTCAAAACCAACCAAGGTTGCATTTTTTTACAGGTTCAGCATACTTGGACAAGATGTTGGCAATAGATATTGAGAAGACTAGTGTCTCTGATGTGTGCCTTTTGTGCAATGCTGAATGATTAAAATGCCCTTTTTTCGTTTCTATAGGGGTGTATCCTTGTTTCTGGGTGCTTTGGCGTATATGAGTTGAAAACCCTGATTTTGTGGAATTTATGTACATCCTTTAGAGAGATTAGTGTCTACTCTCTCCCTTTCATTTTACTTCCAACTGAACCCAAAACAACTGATTTCCAACCACCCCTTGTTTTGCTAATGCATCAGCAATGTGGTTGGGCTGACCTTTGTATCCATTGGATTTTTACATGAATATTTCTAGCCAGCCATCTAAACTTCTTTATTTCATTTCTCTAGGACCATAGAGTTGACTCACTAATCAGCAACCAACCTATCATCACCTTGTTTTCTCTTTTAATGATTAATTTATTCAGGTCAATATTTGTTGCCAGCTGTACACCCTCAAGAACATTCATAGTTTCTGCCCTTAACGAATCCCCTATTCTTATCAGCTCCCACTCCTCAAAGCCCTGGATTCCCCATGCTGCTACCACCAAAATTAAGCTTTATGAAGCTGCCTTCCATTGGCGTCTGGTTTTTGTGGGTTACAGTCTTTTTTGATGATGTTCCAGTCACTTCCTTCCACTTTCTAATAATATCATCTATTGAGAAATATTAAAAGGTATTCAATGAGCCACCCTTTGGAAACCTCCTGATGCAGGGAGCTGAAGGGGTCAAATTTGGAATTTTGTGAAATTTTATGTATTTCTGTATTTTTGGACACGGGGGATAATTTTGCCATTTTAAAATTTCTGTAAGGTCCAATAATAGGGTTTGATTGTCTATTTATAGTTTGTTTATGAAGTCATTGCATAAGTAGGATTACAGTTATTGAGTCTTCTTTGAATTGAAATAGGATATGACAGCTTAGTTTGAGTCCTACTAGGATTATTGAGTCTAACAGTTTGGCTCTTAGTCCTATGAGTATTATGAGTCTAATAGTTTGACTCCTAGGATTATTTTTGATATCTTCTGAAGGTCTACACAACGGGGGGTAGCCCATCCCCCAATCCAGGTGCATGCGGGATTTGATCCCAAGTCTTCGCTACGACCGGAAGGAGACCTTACCAACCATCTGGTTGGCACTTTGCATTTGACTCTTAGGATTATTATGAGTATAGAGTCTATAAATATGTATGGGCGTTTTACACAAAGAGCAATGAAGTTTATTGAGTTTTCTTCAGCTCATGCTAATTATGGTGAGTGATTCCCATACCCTACAGTGATTCTAGGCACCCCGTGAGTGATTCTGGGTATTTTCTCTATTCTTTGTATCCCTATTTTCTTTCTTGTTTTTTCAAGAAGCCATTATAACCATCAACAGCCATAAATTTCTGATCAAAGAAACCATTCAACATTCTCTAAGGACTAGCGTTGAACTGGTCCTACATCACCTCATTTTTTTCCCATGCTGGTTAATTTGGAAGAAGACAGATATAAAATTTTGAGAGCAATAATAGCTTAGTGCAAGAAAAACATTTAAACCACCCCCTTCTTATGACTCTATGTAGTGAGCAAATTTAGTATTATGCAGTACTTCCATTTTAGGGATAAATAACTGGTTGGATATAATATGTCAATCATTTTTTGCTGTATACTGACCAGCTTGTGTTATGTGTATAGTGGAAATTGTTCATATTGCTTTATGAGTATAGATGCAGCATCATACTTAATGGACATTATTAGCATGATATCTTGAAACTAAAGAGTCCAGCCACAATGTTGCAATCCTGTTGTATTTTGTTCTTTTGCCCATCTGGGAGCTTGTCTCTTAGGGGCTTGTATCTTGATTATTGAGATATCAATAAATTACCTTACTTTTTTTTCTAAAAATAAAAAGAGAGTCCAGCCATGCTGGACACTAGGACACCAAAGTGATACCTGGTGGTTGGCATAACAGTTACTGTAGCATCTTGGTGATGCTCCACGCTGAAGTCAGCATAAAAACTGGGAATTTAGCATTCAAACAAGGTATTATGAGCAAAGGCATGCCTAATAGTCCAGACTTTTCTTATTTTTACTATGTTTTAAAATCACTTATATTGATAAAAATCATTCGTAATTAAATAATTATCATGTTGTCTAGTCCCTTGATTTTTGGAGGTTAATGTGCTGTGGACACTTATTGATGTCTGTAACTCTGTATACTTGGTGCCTGTGCCATGTATCGAGGTAATACTGCTGTTATACTTGGCAATCAGCATCATGGTATTGAAGAAGTTTTCAAGTTGATTTTGCTTGAATCAACATAGTTAAAAAGGAGCCACAGTAAAATGCACTTGCAGGTCAAATAGACTGAAAATTTTAATGTATTGGGATGTGATACTGGTTTTTTAGTTGAGCAAGCTATTTCTAGGACACCCTTGCTTGTTTATGTATGGGTGTTGGTTGGTGGAGTTGGTTGTATACTCTCTTCCTATGGTTTTGAAACTTATGTTTTTTGTCCTTTTTAGGTGCTAAGAGATGATCCTCTTCCAGTTTGCATGCCTGAGAAAGTACATGATGTGAAATTGGGTGATTCATCTGAGGATGGTACAGCTACCCATTCAACCAATGATAGCCAGACTAATCCTTCTGGTTCTACCAACAGAACTTCCACAGTTAGGGGCATGGAATCTACTGACTTTAGGAGTGGGAGCTCATTTGGTTCAAAGGGTGCAATGTCATTTGCTGCAGCTGCCATGGCTGGGCTTACATCTGCAAGTGGTAGAGGTATCAGGGGTGGCAGAGACCGGCGGGGACTTTCCCTTTCTGGTACTTCAAATGATCCTGCTAAATTAATATTTTCAGTGGGTAGCAAGCAGCTCAACAGACATCTAACCATATATCAAGCCATCCAACGCCAGCTTGTTTTGGATGAGGATGATGATGAGAGGTATACTTGCTCTGATTTTCTGCCTGGTGATGGAAGCAGACTTTGGAATGACATTTATACCATCACATATCAGAGGGCTGACAACCAGATAGATAGGAGTTCAATAGGAGATTCTTCTTCCACTACTCCATCCAAATCTGCCAAAGCCAGTTCTACCTCCAACTCTGAGTCTTCATGGCATCAAACCTCTCTTTTAGATAGTTTCTTGCAGGGGGAGCTTCCATGTGATCTAGAAAAAGCTAACCCAACTTATTGCATATTGGCATTGCTGCGTGTGTTGGAAGGTTTGAACCAGCTGGCGCCTCGTTTACGAGTCTTGGCATTATCCGATGATTTCTCAAAGGGGAAGATTTCTACTCTAGAATTGAGTACAACTGGTGCCAAAGTCCCTTCTGAGGAGTTCATCAATAGCAAGCTCACTCCGAAATTGGCTCGTCAAATCCAGGATGCATTGGCACTGTGCAGTGGTAGTATTCCTTCTTGGTGTTCCCAGCTCACTAAAGCATGCCCATTCTTGTTTCCATTTGAAACTAGGAGACATTATTTCTATTCTACTGCTTTTGGGCTGTCTCGTGCATTGCATCGATTGCAGCAGCAACAGGGTGCTGATGGTCATGGATCAACAAATGAAAGAGAGATCCGTGTTGGGAGATTACAGCGGCAGAAGGTTCGTGTCTCCAGAAATCGAATTTTGGATTCTGCAGTAAAAGTTATGGAGATGTATTCAAGCCAAAAGGCTGTCCTGGAAGTGGAATATTTTGGTGAGGTTGGAACAGGGTTAGGTCCCACCCTGGAGTTTTATACCCTTCTAAGTCATCACCTTCAAAAGGCTAGCCTTGGAATGTGGAGGTCTAATTCTTCTTCAGATAAGCCAGCAATGGAAATAGATAGAGATGAACAGAAAAACAGAAAAAATAATGATAGTTCAGATGCAAAGAAACTTGGATCAGATTCTTCTGCAGGTGGAAGAGATCTCATACAAGCTCCTCTTGGGTTGTTCCCTTGCCCATGGCCTCCAAAGGCAGATGCTTCTGAGGGTACCCAGTTTTCCAAGGTGATTGAGTATTTCCGGCTTGTTGGACGAGTGATGGCAAAAGCTCTTCAAGATGGACGGCTTCTAGACCTTCCATTGTCAACTGCATTTTACAAGCTTGTGCTTGGTCAAGTAAGCTAAAATACCAGACCTTATTTAATGTACTTGTTTTCTTGATGTTCAATTCCCACTGCACTCTCAACTTTTCAAAATCTTTTAACATTTCACTCTATTACAGGAGCTTGATTTGCATGACATTCTCTCTTTTGATGCTGTATTTGGGAAGATTCTGCAAGAGCTGCAAATCCTTGTTGCCCGGAAGAAATATCTTGAGGCAATGGGCCGTAGGGATCAAATTGCAGATTTAAAATTCCGTGGTGCTCCTATTGAAGATCTCTGCCTGGATTTCACACTTCCTGGTTATCCAGACTATGTTTTAAAACCAGGGGATGAAAATGTACTGGTTTATTCTCTTTGAATGTATCTTTATCTTTGATAGACCTACTTTTTTCAGTTCATTTTTCCCTGGGAGTGGCCTTGAAGTTCCATATTGTCTTGTTAGGTTGATATTAATAATTTGGAGGAGTACATTTCTTCAGTCGTTGATGCAACTGTCAAGACTGGAATTATGCGGCAAATTGAAGCTTTCAGAGCAGGCTTTAATCAGGCAAGTACATTTCTGTTTCGTCTTTCCACTAGGATGCATTGTGATGGTTTCAATGGGATAACCCATTGAATTTGTGATCTTGCTCATATTTTATTGCTGGACCTGCTACTCTTTTCATTTTAAGTTGTTTGTTTTATTTGTTTCTTGTTCTGTAAATATTCTCAATACACCACATTGTTCTGCATTGTACCTCCGTAATTGCTATAGGAAATGGACCTTTAAGTGTTTATTTACCTATTTGGTTTCTGTATATGTTTATGGTCCAAACCTTCTACTATGCCCTGAGACATGCAGGTCTTTGACATTTCATCTCTGCAAATATTTTCTCCTCATGAACTGGATTACCTATTATGTGGCCGCAGAGAGTTGTGGGAGGTATTTGGCTCTTACATGGTGCTTCTTGTTGTGATTGCAACTTAATTGTTTGCTGTCATTTAACTTTCTAGTTTATGCAGGCTGAGACGCTGGTTGATCATATAAAATTTGATCATGGATATACTGCCAAGAGTCCTGCCATTGTCAACGTATGCTTTCCATCATAACAAAGTTCAAAACTTTGAGATTGAGTTTATGCATAATGCTTACTTTGTACATCTTGTTTGTTGTTTCTGATGTGTTTAGTTACTAGAAATAATGGGAGAATTCACACCTGAACAGCAGCGTGCCTTCTGCCAGTTTGTAACTGGTGCACCCCGGCTCCCACCTGGTGGTCTGGCTGTGCTGAACCCGAAGCTTACAATTGTTAGAAAAGTATGTCTTACCCGTATCTGTTTCTATATTACTGGGCTGAGATTTTTGGTACACGAGGTTTATTGACGACTCCCCATGTCTGGCAGCATTCTTCATCAACAACAAACACAACATCAAATGGAACGGGACCTTCTGAATCAGCAGATGACGACTTACCTAGTGTCATGACTTGTGCTAATTACCTCAAGCTTCCTCCTTACTCAACCAAGGTCCTACACTTCTAGAAAAAGCAAAATTTTATATTTATATATATATATATATATATTTCCTACCTTTTCGACACATTCTTATTGTTGGTTTTTCTTGCAGGAAATTATGTATAAGAAACTACTGTATGCCATCAGCGAAGGGCAAGGATCTTTTGACCTGTCCTGAGCCTCCAAGACTAACCCAATCTGCTGTTGGTATACATTATCTTGCGACACTTTTCCTGTCGAATTGCAATTCCAGGCATGGGCTAATTTTGATATTCGAAGTTCTGCCCATTCTACTTAAAGAAACATGTGCCCTGTGCCATTCCTTGAGGAGTGTAGAGGTCAGTTTTGTATTCATTTTAACGGATGTCAGGTTGGGATGTTGTTGGAGTGGCGGGAATAGGTGGGCAACTAATGTGTTTTATTTTTTCCATTTTTTTCCTTTTGTTCCTGTAAATTCTCAATTCATCTGCACAACTTTATCTTTGTCACCTTTTTTGTTCTTAATTCTTCAATAATATATAGTGGTTTTTAGTGAAGTCTGGTTCAACAGACAGTTGCAATCAAGGAGAAGCTTTGAAATGGCAAGGTTGTGGCATCCGGCCTGCTACTGGTGCCTGTAAATAAAGTGAAACACCTGGATTTTTATTGTTATCTTTTGTTTCAATGTTGTTATTAATTTTTGCCCAGAGCATATTGATGTACGGACAGGGCTAAAAATATATATGGTACACTATCAGTATAGTCTTCCAAATTTTTACCATTTCATTGTCACATTTACATTTCAAGTTTTTTTTTTTAATGTATCTTAATTTAGCTAAGAAAAGAGCTTTTTTCTTTAATGATAGCTTGCCATGGAATTCTTGAGCTCTATGATTTTGGATAATCTCCAAATTATTTTAGGTGGGTCGGTTTGGTAGGTCCTGTCGTCCTGGTCCTTTTTTTTACTCCGAGGGAGTAAAACCTAAATTTGTAGTATTTATGCGATATGGTCATTTGGCCAATGTGGCAGGCAGACGCAAAATCCAGTTTGGGATGTTACGCGTGGAAAGCAATACCCTTTAGGTCCCGTTCACTTTTTGGTATATTATTTATTCGGATAAATGCATTTATTCAGGTAAGTTTTTTAGGAAATATATATTTTAGTCAAGTCTGAAGTGTATTTACCCAAGTTTTTTTTCTCAGATTAATAAGGAAATGACCGTTTTAGTCATAAAAATCTATTATTAAAAGGGGCATTTGTGTCTTATTGAAGAAGTGTTGATAATTCTTTTTAGGTGAAAAAATTATTAAGTGATATTCAGGAAAATAAAATTTTCTTGTCCTCACATAAATCTGAAATAAGAATATAGGTTGCAACCTATAAGTTGCAAATTTTTGCTTTTAAACCACATTAATTGAATTCTTTTTACCTTTGTCTAATGCTTCGGTGTCAAGTTTTATGTAAATATAAATTATTAAATGTGTTTATTTTTTTCTTGGCAGTAAAAAATAAAATATGTATTTCTTCTGTGGGCATGTTTATAACCATTCAAGCCTTAGGCTGTGTTTGGTGGCTGTACAAATTTCATTTTAAATCATGGTTTTCAAAACTGGACCGGAAAAACCGGTAATCGTTCAGCCCCTCGGGTCTGGTTATACTATAAACTACCAAGTCTTTAAAACCCATTGAAAAAGTAAAAAAACTGTTGACCTGGGTGGTTGAACCGCTAAACCGTTCTACCCGGGCAGCGGTTCGTGGGTTATCATTTTTATTTTTGTTGATTTAAATAAAATATAAAAACAAAAAAGAAAACAAAATGACCCCCATATCCCCGATCCCATCTCTTATGTTTAGGGTTAGAATGACCCCCTTTTCATTCTAACCCTTCCCTCCTCTCAGTTGTCACACCCAACCGACCACCTGCGGTGGCCACGACCTACGGCGTCCAATGGCAACACACAATGACTGACGGCAATTCATGGTGACCGACGACAATAGTGAGCTTCATCTATGGCACTTAGCGTTGATTTTGCAACAGATCCAGCAGTAACAGATTTGGTGATGGTCGGCGATTTTGCAACCTTACATGTAGTGACGTGATGGTATATTTCCTGCCCACTATTCTCTACCCATGCATGCAAGAGTAAGCATCGTTGTTCTATCTGTAACCTTACCTGTAGCTTGACAAACTTATGAACAATTTGGTGGTTCTCAATTGAGTGTTAAGCTTGAAATTGGTGGTTCCCAATTGAGTGTTAGGCTCGAAATTGGTGGTTCCCAAAAGTTTTGCATTTTTTTGATTTTATACCTTCAAGCTCGAAGGACCTGAAGGTATAAAATGCTTTTTTTTTTAATTTTTTTGTGAGTTTAATTAATTCTTTGATTTTTTTGCTTAATTCTTTGTTTAATTATTTTTTCTGAATCTTTGTTTAATTAATTACATAGATTCACATACTCACATTGCCTTAATTAATTTTGCTTTATTAATTTTTTTTCAATTCCTTGCTTATTTGCTATGTGAATGATGATGATGATGATTATTAGATGATGTCAAAGAATGATAATCTCTTTTTTTTTGTATTTTTTGCAAATATATGGTTTTTGTATTTTCTGCAAGCAATTTTTGTATTTAGGTAGTTTTATTTTTTTGTATTTGCTTTTTTTTTTGAATTTTTCTGTATTTATTTTTATATTTTCTGTGTTTTGTACTGTATTATTTTTGTATTTAGATCGTTTTATTTTCTGTATTTTTATTTATTTTTATACTATTTTTTATTATTTATAAATATATTTTTTTATTTTTTATTTATTTATGATGTCACGGGTCGAACCGTTCAACCCGAATGGTTGAACTGCTTAACCAGAAACTGGTCCCCTGACCGGTTCTATTTCCGATTCATTTTTAAAAACCTTGCTTTAAATGCATGGGAATGTGAAAGGTCTGAGTGTAAATTCTGGTTTACTTTTGATTTAGACTTGATTTTCTTGTTTGTGAGAGTAAAATGGGAAGTAAAGTCAAGTGGCCCTCACTTTAAAATAATGAGAAGAGAGCTAGGAGGGTAAAGGGTTATCTCTTATCTGTCTAAGAGTAAGGTAGGATGCAAGACGATGTGATCCCCAATTTGTACGAGAAAGAATCGAATTAAAAAGACTTTGGTGTAAATTTTAATAGTTTTGGGATGTGAAATTTGCACAGTCAGTGAGTGCAAAAGGGACAAAAAGCACACATTTTATATATGATAGAAATATATATTATAATTACAAACGAATGAAAGCAAATTTTGCACTTCGTTAAGATTTGCACTGCAACTAAAAGATCCCTGGATTCAATATTGTTAATTCATTTTTGGGAATCACATGAATTTCCCTAGCATATCATAAATGTCCTATGTATTTCACTTCCATCGTATTCATGTGTTTGTTAAGTTATCCTCTGCATATAACCCCAGAAACACCAATTTGAATCATCTCTGCAGCTTTAAAATGAATTTCAGCAATGGGTTGGTTTATTGCAGCCAAAAAAAAAAAAAAAACAAGGGTTGGTTTTCTCTTTTGAGCTATTCAGAGTGGGGGGATTGTAGCCTTTCTGTACCTTAATACCCAGAAAGAAAAATTAATGAAAGCTATCTCCTAATTTTAACTATTTCATATCAAAAGCTGTCGATGTTCTACAATGGTTACTCGTAAAAAAACCACAAATCCACAATAGTTAGGTGCGTTTTCCAATTCTAGGTGAGCCAATGGACTCCTGTACCTTCAGTTCAACTAGGAAAAGTCAAAGGTCTCTCCAAAGTGTATCACTTACGTTGATTTTCCAAAGCATAAGCCTGCCTTTTCTGATTAGCTAAGCTAAGCAGCACTTAAGTTGGAACCTCACCTGCTTCTAAACAACAGCCAGTGTCTTTCTTGTCTTTCTTGCATGAATCTTCCTGGTATACCTTTGACATTGCAAGTGGAAGAAATTGGGATGAATACAACTCAAATTTCGTTTTTTTTTTTTAGGCAAACCCAAATAAGTTGGCATGACCTGTCAACTAGTCACCCAGTAAGTAGAACTGTAAAGTGAGCTCGGATGCCTGCGGGCTGGAATGGCTCAGAACGACTTGGGCCATGCCAGGCCCAGCCCGTGCCTAACTGGGTTTGGGTTTGAGGCCCGTGGGGCATGGGTTAGCACATCACAACACAAAAAAAGTGGGCAGTGCTGGCATGGCCCACAATAATATATGTATGTATACATACATTTTATTTTTCAATTTTATTGTCATTTTAAATTTTATTTTATTATTTCACATATAAACAATTATATACACCAAAATTCATATAGAATAAAATTTTAAGATTTTTTTCAATTTATTGTTTATTTTGTTAATTTATTTTAACTTTTTCATTTTTTTTCAATTTTTCTAAAAACATTTATGCCGCCCATGGCCCGGCACGGGCCTAGGCCATGCTGGGCTTCCTTTTTGAGGGATTCTAGGCCAAATAGGAATGGCCCACAGGCCTGCATACTGGCATGGCATGGCCTGCTATAATTAAGGGTGTCAATGGACTGGTTTTGGATTGGACCCCATCCAGTCCAAAATCAATTTGGATGGATTGAATGGACCAACAAGACATTTGATGGACCAATCCAGTCCAAAATATTTGTTAGATTGGATTGGACCTGGTCCATCTGTAATAAGTTTATATTGGAATGGGTTGGATTAAGTCAAATCTGGTCCATTGATATAAGATAAGAATAAAGGTGCAAACATCAATACACATTCAGTTCTTTGTTTGTCTTTGTGGTGAAAAGAATATTAAGGGGGCAATTACTCTTTTGCTTCACACCCAAGGTTCAAAATACTGATACAATCCAATATGGCAAAGGGGATGTGTATTGGTACTTTAAATTTTTTGTCATATTTTTTAGTTTTTTTTTTATTTAAAGGGGGGCTGAATTCCACTATGATGTTGGAAAAACTTATAACCAATCAATTGGCATCATGAAAGTATGAAAGTAGGGATTAGGGTTTTATCAAAATTCATGAGAGGATGTGATAGATTTTCCCCTGGAAATAATATATAAACAACCATTTAAAACAAAACCTTAAAAACAAAGTATTGGTACTCTCATACTCTACCAATTTGATACGTATTGGCTATAATGAGCCGATATGTTGAAAATTTTGTCCTTGCCCACATCCATAATAAATGTGTCATGTGTTTGTAAAACCCATGATAATAAATATATGGGTTGATTTCATTTAAGAATTGTTTTTTATGGGGATTCCATTTTGGAATAGATCAGTTGGAAATTGGTTTGATTTTATCAGCGTTTGGATGTAGTATGAAATGTTTGGATTTTATCGATTTTATCGAATGTTTGAATTTTTTTTACACTTGTCCTTTAATATAACTCCTGGCCTATCCTTGAAAAAGATTAAAAATTACTTTTAACACTTGTCAGAATATTTCAAGTACTGGTTGATGTTTTTTGATGTACTTACTATGTTGTTAATAATAGATCTGGGTCTCGATTTTTACATTGATTAAGTAAGAATAATAAGTTGAGTTTGAAAAAAGTATATTATATATATATATAGGTGTAACATTGATTAAGTAAGAAGTGTAACATTTTCCGGTCCCATATTGGTACATCTAATTAATATATATATATATATTTCAAGCTACAGCCTCCACCATTCAGATACGTGGTTTTTTCAAATTTATACACTTCATTTTCTGAGAAGTTGTTTTTAAAGCCCGCATCCCATTATCACCAAGTGGCCAACTCATTTTCTAGAAAGTTAGACATATGGCATTTTCTGACAAGTTGCTACTAAAGCACACAATTCACTACCATCATTTTTAATTAATTCCTAAAAAAATGTAGAAATACAAAATTAATTATCCACAACCACTTCTGCATTAACCCTCTACGCATCATATCAAAAAAGAAAACTATCTATGTTTTAATAATTATTGAAAAAACTATTTTTGAAATAAATATTTCTTAAAATTTTAATAATTATTTAAATTATTAATAAATATAAATTTAACGTTATTGATTCCATAAGTAATTAACATTATGGATTCCCGGGTCATTCCCTAGTTTATTAATTAATTGAAACAAGACGCAACACTGACTCTATGTCTCTATGATCAGTCTGAGTCCTCCTTCTCGTCAGTCATCTTTTCCGGCGCAATGCACTTGGACGGCCAGAGACTTAATTCCCGGACATTCATCTCCCTTGCCACCGCCGAATGTCTTCTGATCAACCGGTATATCACAGGTAGTCTTTCCTAGGCAGTACTGCACGAAGCCAGTATTGGTTGGAATTGAGCGATGGAGAGTGCTGAACTCAACTAAATATATATCTAGAAAAAGAAGCAAGAAGAAAGGTAGAAAAGTAGTAGTAGGAGGAGGAGGAGGAGGAGGAGAACCCCACCTGCTCAACAACCTTCTTGGCTTCTGATGATGAGGTGCAATTTCCCGGGGTAAAAGCTCCGCAGGCGCCAGTAGGCACATTACCGAAGGTTGCAAAATCGACATTGACAATCACCTTGTGGTTGGGACACTTCAAGTGCGCCTTTGGGTTGGTGTCGCCTACCACCGCCCGTATCTTGCCGTTCTCCCTTTGCCATGACTGGACGTTTGCCGAGTGATGCTCGGTGATTATGCTACATATGGTATCCCTGTTGACTGTCAGTATCTTAATCTCTTCTGGGTTTCCTCCCATTTCCTCTAACACTACTAGAAGGTTTCCACTTGGCTTAAGGAACACCCTCGGGACATGGTACCTGAATCAAAATCATGGATTTATATATATAGACAGATCACAGATGCTGAGATGGATGGATATGGTTAAGCTAGTATCAGGCATTAGGTGCAATTAATTAATTAATACATACTCGGACTGAGTGGGCTTCCCCAAAGGAGACTTATAGTCTACCCAGTAACGACCAATGCTTTTGCCATTAACCCAAACCATGCCCTTGCCCATACTTGTTAGATTGAGAGCGACTGGGTTGTCTCCTTCGGGAGCGTCGAAGTAAGTCTGCAATTAGAAGTTTTCATCTTTATCTGTTACTATTCGTAGCTACATATAAGTTGTAATAAAAGAAAAAGCAAAACTCGGTCTGATCACTGATCAGATTCCAGTAGTAGTGTTTTCCCGCAATGATACCTTGTACCATGTAAGAGCATGTCCACCCCCCTTGGCCTCTTTCCACGATACCTTCTCTGTTCCCTCTGGAGTAAAGATTTCGTTCTTTTCTCCATCCACTCCAACCTGTGGCATGCGCCAAGCTTAATCCTTTGGGTAGCTGCTGCTCATGGACTGAGATATATACATATGGTGCAGTTTAAGCTTAGAAAATTGATGCATGATTACCTGATGTCCCCATCCATTGGCCGATAGATCGAGTGTTCCGGTGTTCAAACCTTGTACAGCTACACGATGAACACCAGCAAGCCTAATGTTCAAGTAGGCTCCACTATCCTTTCATTCAGAGAGAGATCCTTACTTAAGTTTCTTGTTTAAGATAAGAAAGAAAGGAAATTGAACATTGCAGAATATATATATATATATTACCGGGAATCCGACTGTCATTCCTAACAATTGTATGTGGTTGGTCCCAGGTTTCAGGGGTACTGGTTTCTGGAATGTGAAAGACTTTTCAATATGGCTGCCATGTCCGGACCCTGAAATCCAAAACAAGGAAAAGCAAGCAGAATATGTATATATGTAGTAGGGTGGTGTAGGCAATTAGTCAATAATCAAATTGTAAGTTGTAACCGGAGGTAGATGAATGGCATGCTAATATGTACCAACGTATTCGCCGTTTGCAAAAGTGTGCATGACATGGCCGAAATTTGAAACTTGGAGAACTGGATGAATGTCACGTCGAAAGGGAAGATCATCCCTAGTCAACTGGATTCTGCATTTGGAATTCGTTCAGTGCATCAGAATTAATTAATTAATTGGCTATTAGCAAAACAATTAAACAAGGGAACAAGCTTATTGTGTTTCCTTAATCCAAGGGTGTTCATCAGGATGGATGGTTTAATTACTTGGTAGTATACCACAGGTAGTCTGATCTATCCTTAGTCTGATTCATGAGCTCTAATGGGTTCTTGTATTTTACAGGACTTTCATCAATGATTGGAATCTTTTCGTGGTACATCTCCCACTCTAGATTCTTATTGGCCCTTTTTGATATCTTGTAGCTCCTTGAGTTGTGTTGTGAAACCACCTGTGTTTACACAGCAGACATCTCTCTTTAAGTAGTCCTTATTATTCAAAAATAAAATAAGATAATTTTAAAGGTATCGATATCAGAACTTACATTTTGAGTGTTGAACACCACGGTCTTGCAATCTGGGAGGATGCTAATGGAACGTGGAGGAAAGTAATACTCCTTGCCCCTGAATTTTGCAGTTGCCGGTTCTCTAGTATTGTTGTTGCACAAGAAAGCTGCACACACCTTACTCTCAGAATTCTCAAAAATTCTTGCCTGCATGCAGAGTAGAATTTTGGTTAATTATTAGCTCATTCAATTCTCTCTCTCTCTCTCTCTCTCTCTCACTCAAAGGAAGCTCTCTTTAGAAATTGTGCTTTCGCTTTATCCCCCTTACCTCTACTCCATTTTCCAACTTCTGGACAGAGGGAGTCCCCCAAAGCAAAGCCTTCTTACATAATCTCAAAGCAGCATGCAAGTCTCTAAGGTGGCCCCATTTCGGATCCTTCTGCAGACCTGCAAGCACATGAGGAAACCAGTGATGAGGTGTAGTGTACGATTAACAAATTAATTTAGACATGAGGAATATAGGATGAAGTAGTAGTAATTGTGTCCAACCATATTCATCGAGAGGAGCTTCATCATAGTAGCGAGTTGTTACAAAGTCGGCACTTGTTCTACCATAATTCGTCCCTCCATGATACTGTGGATATATGCAGAAAGAAGAGAGAACTAATTAATGAATTAATCCTCATTTCCTTCTCTATTCTTTTAATTCATGATCAATTTGTTGTGAGGTAGGTCAAGCATCACATTTAAATTTTAATTAAGAGATACACCAACTCATCATTGTCCTGGCCATATATACCATATAATAGTTGTTAAGAGTCCCCTTCTTAGAGAAGAAACGGGCAACAGCAAATGCCAGATCTTCTGCTGCTCTCTGAGATGGTGGGTCCCCAAATACTCTATACCTGCAATCCATTCAAATGCAGCTACAAATTTAGCTATATGCTACCTACTATAAACAAATTGCTACAACTTCAATGCTGATGAATTGAGGCGCACTTACTGTGCAGTCCAGTTCTCAGTCCAGATAAAAGGTTTATTGGGTTTGTTTGGGCCTATGAATGTATCTCCACAGTTCCTTCCATTGCATGAGTTGATCTACACAACACGCCAAGCCATCTTATATTTATAAAGCTGATCGATGATTTACTTTACTGCTTATTTTGGTACTCAAGTGTTAGTTAGAAACCTTAATTAATTTGTCAACAAAGAATCGATGGATGCAGGAGTAGGTATAACTTACCACTGGATCGGGAGCTTCCTTCTGTTTGCACATCACCCATGGGACTCCTGTGTTGAGGCCCACAGCCATCTTTGCTGCCCAATGAACGTAACTAATTCCTGCTTCTCGATATGCAAGTTGGATAGTGTTATATTCATTTTCAATCTGCACCAACCAAATCACAGCATAGACTGAGAGTCAGGATTAAACCTGTGATAAAATGAGTGGGATAAAGCCAGCCAAAAGGGTAATTCATATAGTTGTGGTAGTGGAATCAATCAATTAAACCTGTGATAAAACGATAGGACCTCCTTGAGAAGCAAATAGTTTCTCATCCTTCATCTTTTTTACGATCAACTCGGTGAACTTTTGCATGTGGTACTGCATATATATATATATATATATATATATATATGTATATTTATGCATCAGAAATCAGAAATATTTAAATCTATCTATATATGTTTATGTAATGCTAGCTGAGGCTGAGCTGCTTAAAGGAAGAAAATTAAGAATCACCTTGTATGGCTCATTATCCGTGCGGAAAGTAATGTTTGGAACTTCTCTTAGCCAATACGGTAATCCACTGATGATGATCAAGAGCGCGCACTTGGTTTCAGTTTAATTAGCAGAGAAAAATCTAATTAATTATATTTAAGTAGGTAATCTGAAGTATATACCCATAATTCCATTCAGCCTGGACGAATGGTCCAATCCTGAGGACCGCGTACATGTCCATCTCTTTGATCAATTTGATGAATTTCACCAAATCATAATTTCCTTCAAAGTTGTACTGCATTTGGAGGGGAGGTGCGTGGTAGTTAGTTTTCTTATTATTATGTACAGTTGACGACAAGAAGAGATCAAGAAGAAGAAGAAGAAGAGATTAACAACACTAACTCAATCCTCCATGCATTAATATTATAATTACCTTTCCTTGTTTGGGCTCATGAACGTTCCAAAAGACGTAAGTCTCGATCGTATTCAATCCTCCATGCTTAGATTTGTTGAAGATTTCAGGCCACATCTATATATATATGCATGGTTTACAACAACAAAATCCGTCATTAAAGTACAAGAGCAAAGCTTTTCAGTTTCAGATGAAAATCCATGAAAAAAAAAATGATCGATGAAGAAGAATAAGTTGTTACCCCAACAGGGACACGCGGGTAATGGACGGAACCCGAGAAGAAAAGCTCTCTCTTTCCATTGATGATGAATGATCGGCCATCGTAGGTCACCTCCTCGGAAACAGCCGAGACAACAAACACAGAAACAAGTGTAAAAAGGAGAGGGAGAGCTGGGCTTCGTATCAACATGGAGATTGGTCGACGACGACGACCAGAGAATATCTGTGTGTTCCCGATCAGCTTCAGCTTCGACGTGGTGCAATGGCCAATGAAGTTGTCTGGGTCTGGCCTGGCTTCTTAAGAAGAAAGAGCGCAGCGCTGCACACCCATC